ATTCTCTTCCTCTCTCTCACTCTTCTTCTGGTATTCCCATTAAGCATATGTTACACCTTTTGTAGTTGTACATTCTGTTCTGGGTTTTTTTTCCATCTTTTTTCTGTTTGCATTCCTTTTTTGGTGGTTTCTATTGACTTAGCCTCTAGCTGAGAGATTCTTTAGTCAGCTGTGTGCAGTCTGCTAATAAGCCCATCAAAGGCGCTCTTCACTTCTGTTACGTGTTTTTTGATCTCTAGCATTTCTTTTTGGTTCTTGGAATTTCCATCTCTCTGCTTTCATTGTCCAACTGTTCTTGCATTCTGTATATGTTATTCATTAGAGCTCTTAGCATATTAGTCATAGTTGTTTTAAATCACCAGTCTGATAATTCCAGCCTTCTGCCATGTTCTGATACTTGTTCTGTCTCTTCAAACATTTGTTTTTGCCTTTTAGTATGTCTTGTAATTTTTTCTTGACAGCCAGGCATGTTGTACTGGGTAAAAGGCACTGCAGTAAATAGGCCTTTAGTAATGTGGTGGTAATGGGAGCAGCGGGGAGGGGGTCATTTTGTACTCCTCTGATTAGGTCTCAGTTTCTTAGCCTGAGCCTCTAGACTGAACTTGACACATGCTTCTCAGTCTCCCACCCCACCCTCCTTGGTGGACAGTATAGCTAGAATGGGCTGGAGTTGGGTATCTCTCTTCCCTCAGCTCAGTTAGACACTGATAAAACTCTAGCAGGTTAGGCTCTGGTTAAATAGTTTCTCCTGTGGGCAGACCTTGTTAAAAACAGCACTTTGGTGTATTTCAATGATTCTTTTCCCCTCCACCTGCCAGGAGCACAAGAGGCTTTTTCTCCAGTGTTCACTAAGAATATGGTAGAATTCTAGGAGGGAACTCAGAAAGTGCGGGAGCCCCCCGTGACTGCACCCCTCAGGTTGTCAGCTCTCACGCTTGTCTGCAGTGAGTCCCCAGCAGTGCATCTTGCCCCGTTCCAGCGCTGGTTCCTTTGGGGGTTTTAGCTCGTGCGTTTCCAGTAAGTTGGGAGTCTCTGCATCTGCCAGTCCGTCTCCAGTTTTGAGGGCAGCAGTTTGCCCTGTGACCTCACTTCTCTTACAGATCTAAGAACAATTGTTGATTTTACAGTTTGTTCAGCTTTTGACTTGCTGTAAGGATGGAGTGGCAGTTTCCAAGCTTCTACATTATGGATCAGAAACAAGAAGTTCTTGATTGTCAGTTTTTAGAATTATATTTTTTGCATGAAATGATAAGGAATTGTGGATGGAAAACTGCCAATTCCATCTAGTGATGGAATTCTGAGCAGCCACAAAATATTTTATTGTAGAAAATTTAAGTTATATTGAGGAATACCAACAAAACAGTAGACTTGCATGATCCCAATATTATAAATAATTGTATATTAAAAGACTGGGAAATATATATCAAAATTATAATCATTGGTTACATATAGTGGTAAAGTTATAAGTGATTTTTGTTTTCTTTGTTTTTTCCTGTATATTTCTAATTTTCTACAGTGAATTTTTAAAATCAGGAAAATAGGTTATTTATAAAAGTAAAGCAATTCACCTGGCACCCAAATCTTGGTTTCTAATTCTGTTCTCCAATAAAGGGAACCAGAGAAATGACTTGATCTAATGTAGCACTGGGGCAGGGACTATGTGAGGTAAGCTAGGAACATCTTGTAGTACCGGAAAGTAAGGAAGTGCTCAACAAGCAAAACAATGGGAGTATGGTAGTGGGAGTATGTGACCAGGACATAGGGGCCAACTAAAAGAACCCCCAGTGATTTGACCAACAAAATAAATAATGTAGTATTGAATTATGTCCCAAACTATAAAATAAATACCCATGAGTCCATACTGATATAAATAAATGATTATCAAATAAATAAATAAATGGATGAGAATAGAGAAAGCTCCTGTGCAGAATTCCCCATGATTGATGGAGATGCCCTACAGAGATACACAGATAGCCACGGAGGGGGCTTCTAGTTCCCACTCCTTAGGTGTAGGCTGCACAGAGCACCTTCCTCCCCACGTGCACCGTGTGGAGACGGGGGATGAGAAAGAGCAGCTTCACTGTGGAAGCCTGACCTCAGCCGGGTGCTCCGGGGGCAGCATCAGCGGTGACGAGTCGCGTCGACAGTGTCGTGTGATAAGAATGGCGCTTCACCTCTGCGGTCTTCCTCCCAGGAACCCTTCCCTCAGTCTAACCAGGAGAAAACATCAGACAAACCCTCAATGAGGGACGTTCTACAGAATGCCTGACCAGGAGTCCTCATGTCTGTCAAGGTCCTTAAAAACAAGGAAGGTCAGGGAAAGTGTTAGAGTCTGGAAAATCCTAAGGATGCATGATGACTCGACATAATGTGGTGTCTTAGATGGGATCCTGGGACAGAAAAAGGACATTAGGTAAAGACCAAGGACATCTCAATAAAGCGTGGACTGTAGTTAGTAATAATGTGTCAGCACGGGCTCCTCCTTTATGACACATGTACCTCATAGTAATAGAAGATGTTAACAAAAGGCAAAACTTAGCTTTTCTGTAAATCTCTAAAACTGAAAGTTTATTTTTTAAAAAAGAAGAATGTTATTTAATAATTCACCACATTTATTTTTAGAAGATTTGAGTAAGGTCAAAGCTGTTGTGTAGGATAAAAGTGCAATTTCTGGAATTTGTCTTCTGACCCGTTTTCTCAGAGTATGAAATTCCCATTGCATAGATTTGACCTTCACTCAGGGGCCCCTTTCCTTGTGGCATCCTATGACTCATTCTGGATACAGAATTTTCTGATGAGGCTTCAGGGCAACAGTCTGATTGTATGTGAGGAGACAAGTAATCTGAAGAGCTAAGATTACATGTATGTTTCCCCTTTCCATAATGTAATACAAAGGTATTTATATTATAAATACCATGTCAGGGTTTGGCATGCGCAAAGGCTTGTACTGGTTGGTAGTACTGGGAGGAAATCAGTGGGCATCTCTTGGCCTTGGCTGTTTCACTCCCGCTTGCTCAGTGTCGACCTTGGTGCCAGGCAACGGTGCAGGGCAGCTGCTCCTTCCAAGGGACCAATCCAGAAACACTTGATCAGGGGCTATAACCACACTACACTCACCCCACAGCATAACAAGTACAATCATAGATATGGACTTACTCATCTTTATCAGTCTTATGCGTGTGATGCATTTCTCTGATTATTAATTAGAATTGTACATCTTGTTATATGTTTGGGTTTCTGGGAAGTTCTTCCAAGAATTGCGTATTCATTGCCTTTAAGTGGCCTCATAGTTCTTGAGGTCAAAGGCCCTTCATTGGCCTTGGACCTTATGCCTCAGGACATGTAATAAAAGATAATATTGCTGCATGCCATCATAAAGTTAAATTGGAGGTGAGGCAGTCTTTAGTCCTTGCCGTATTTGTCTTATTTACTCTTCTGCCTTCTGATTGTCTTTGTGTTTCATCATTGGTGACCATATCTCTTGTTGGAATGAATTCAGATAAGTTACCTGATTTGTTAGGTTTGTAATTAACTGTTTAACAAAAATGTCTTTTAAAAAGTACATTTGGGGGCCTGCCTGGTGGCACAGTGGCTAAGTTCACATGTTCCGCTTTGGCAGCCCGGGGTTCACTGGTTCAGATCCTGGGTGCAGACATGGCACAGCTTGGCAAGCCATGCTGTGGTAGGCATCCCACATATAAAGTAGAGGAAGATGGACACAGATGTTAGCTCAGGGCCAGTCTTCCTCAGCAAAAAGAGGAGGATTGACAGCAGATGTTAGCTCAGGACTAATCTTCCTCAAAAAAAATTTTTTTTTAATTATAAAAAGTTTAAACATTTTTTTATGATAGTACATTTGCAGTTCCTAAGAAGGTAAACATAATTTTACCATGGAACCCAGCAGTTCTAGATATTTACTAGATGTGCTCCTAGGTATTTACTCAGATGATGAAAACTTATATCCACACAAAAACCTGCCATGAATGTTTATAACAGCTTTATTCATAATTGCCAAAACTTGGAAGCAACCAGATGTCGTTCAGTCAGTAAATGGATAAACTGTGGTACATCCCTACAATGGAATATTATTCAGGGATAAGAAAGAGCTATCAAGGCATGAGAAGACATGCAGGAACCTTAAACGCTTATTGCTAGGTGAAAGAAACCAGTCTGAAAAGGCTACACACTATGTGATTCCAGCTGTATGACATTCTGGAAAAGACAAAACTATGGAGACAGCAAAAGAATCAGTGGCTGCCAGGGATTCAGGGGGTGGGAGGGGCGAATAGGTGAGCACAGAGGATTTTTAGGGCAGGGAAATTATTCAGCAGGATATTGTAATGGTGGGTACATGACATTATGCATTTGTTAAAACACATAGAACTGTGCAACACAAACAGTGACCCCTAATGTATGTAAACTGTGGGCTCTAGTTGGTAGTGGTGTATCGATATTGGTTCATCAGGTATAACAAACATTCCACACTGAGGCAAGGTGTTAGTAATAGGGGGAGCTAGATGCAGGGAAGAGAAAGGAGAAACCTAAAGGTGCTCTAAAAACTAGTCGTAATTCTTTTTGAAAGTACTTCATTCAGTTCAGATTTTATCGAGGGCACCCAATTATGTGAAACAATTGGTATTTTGAATAGAAACTTTAAGATTATTATCTAAATAATTTGGAGCAAAGATTTTATATATTACTATATTAGAAATATTTCCAAATACTGTAATAGCTACAGTAATCTGGGATGTTTGTCTTGATTCTTACAAATTCTTGATAATGTAAAGTACTTTAGTTCGTTGATTCTAGGATATCCATTCTAGGACATTTTAGCCTTGAAATCAATATGTGTGTTAGAATCAGTGACATCTTAGATTCAGTGAGATACAGTGTCTAATAGGGCTTCAGAAGGAGGAATTTAATAATTGCTACAGAATTATTATAATTACTAGAAATGATCTCATGGGGTGGCTCTGATCTCCCTGCTGCCTGTCTTTCAGATGCTCCTTGTGTGGGTATGTCTGCAGCCATCCTCCGTCTTTGAAGTCTCATATGTGGAAGCATGCGAGTGACCAAAATTATAACTACGAACAAGTAAACAAGGCTATTAATGATGCAATTTCACAAAGTGGCAGGTATTTGATCCTACCCTTCCCTTATTGTTATATATGAATTAAAGTTAGGCTTAAATCTATCAGTCCTACGTTATAACCAACTCAAGGTCTGGTGTACTGTGTTTTGTTTTCAAGAGTTCTGGGGAAATCCCCTGGAAAGGCTGTGGTGAACAACAGTGAAGAGAGAGCCGATCCTCTCACTGGCAGTTCAGAGAACTTGATGTCGCCCTCAGAGCTGATTGCCCAAGCGCCCAGTGAAGTCGTAGGTCCCAACGAGAATGACAAACTGAGCCCTGCAAGTAATACCTCATATAGTCTAGAAAAAAACTCCAGTCCAGCCCCTCCTGGTATGGAGTATTGTGTTTTACTCTTCTGTTGTTGTATTTGTGGTTTTGAATCTACCAGCAAAGAAAATCTCTTGGATCATATGAAAGAGCATGAGGGTGAAATCGTAAACATCATCCTAAATAAGGACCACAACACAACTCTAAACACAAATTAGATGGAATCATTACTTGAAGAGGACAGCGGTGGAAGAGGGATCCCTTAAACCACAGCTTCACCTTTGTGCTGTCAAATGGCTCACTAGACACGGAGGAAATGGTGTGATTTTTGAGGCAATGACAGATGTGACTTGGAACCAAATTTGTAATGTAATAAGAGGAATTCCAAATGGATAAGCGGTAATGATGTTTAAATATTTTGAGTGAGGGGAAATGAGTTGAGGAGGAAGCAAAGATGTAATTCTGTATTAACCCTCTGTTACCTCTTCTTAGTGTTGAGTGTATTTATTATTAAAAGCTTATCATAGTCTAGAAATGCAAGCAGAAGAGTGAAGAAAGGGTTGTTCAGGAACTGTTCTAAAATTTGTTATAAAAGTGTCACGGTCTTAAGCAGAGCTTAGTTTTCTTCGTTCTCAGTTTTGACCTGCCGGCTCTGGAATGACAGGCCTCTTGTGAGAAGCAGGAGGCGGCTCCCTGAGGGCTTTTCAGTGTTACCAACAGAGTCAACAAGGAAAAGGTGACTGGAGGGCTTTGAAATGACCTACCTAATCGTTCCCAAATTGATAGGAAGCAGTCATATAGTTAATCTCAGATATATTACTGTACTCCTGAAAGAAGAGAAAAAGAAAAGAGACCTCTAAATCCAAATCTAGATTGTAAATAGGCATTAAGAAGTCAATTAACGGTCTTAAATTTGCAGTGAATTTCTTGTGGGCGAAGGCAGAAATAGGCAAACTGCCACCAGACTCAACCCAAGTCCCAAGTTTCGTGCAGCTGGTACCTCGCGGAGCGCAGTGCCCTTCGCAGAGGTTCTTTTCAGGGTGTCTGACAGAACACTGCTGTTTCCTTGCTAGTTGCATAGGCCTTCTAATCCTTTCTTCTAAACTAGACCGGGCTTGTTATCTGAAAGAGTCTATTAAAGCAACAAAGTGTAGAAATTTGCATTTGATCATCAGACCTGGGAAGTAGTTGGAACTCTTAAATAAAAATCATTTGAGGAAAGAGCGGTGAAATTCAGAAGCCCCTTAAAACGAGTACGCTATTGAGATTTCACTTCCTGGAGTTTAATTTATTTGTACTTAGCATAAGAGGTATAACCAAATGTGGCTAAAATAGAGGAAGAGTTCTGGTTGTTTATAAAACTTTTAACAACAAACATTTGGCAAGTCTACAGAGTTCCTCCTATCTAGGAAATTTCATTTTATTAGTGTGCAATAGGACATATGGAAAACCATCTAAAAGTGCTTTTGCATTGAAACTTGCCGTCAAATAGATGTAATCTTCTCATTAATTACACATTTTGTATCATAATGTATTTCAAAGAATGAAGATAACAGGGTTTTTTCGTTTATGCTTCTGTAGTTCTGATCATTTATTTGTGCATTGTTTTAAGTGAATTCCGCTACAAGTCACAAGGCCGGTGCTCCATGCAGTGCACCATGTTCACGGTGCTCTTTCTGAACTTGGTTTCTGACATCTTCCAGAGCTGAGGCTGTGACTGGTGAACTTAGAAAACATCAAAAACAGAATTTGTTTCTGTAGACACGTTTTAGGAAAGAGTTCTCTTCCCGAAGTCCAGGTATGAATTAACATTTTTAAGATAGCATTGGGAACTGTTTAAGCGGGGCCAGGCATCTTAAAGCATTGTCTGATTTGTTTTTTTAATCTCGTTTTGATGATGATATTTAAACAAACGATTATAACTTTGTAGCTCTTTAATTTAGGTAGCTTTAATTTATTTATGAAAGTTAATCCATTTCTGATATGTAGTTTTTAAAAAGATAAAATGAATTTTTATATACTAAATTATATTCCCCAAATCCACTGCGTATGCATTTATATTCATTTTTTCCTTTCATTTTCAGGATTAAAATACAATCATATTTCATTTCAAATTCAAATAAAATATTTTAAATGGTTCCATTATTATCATATTGTTGCCACTCATTCAATTCTTTCATTGCTGGTAGCTACAACTCAATGTTTCTTTATAAAAATGTATTATTCTGAAAATTAACAATCTTAGAAGAATTTTGTTTTATAAATTTACCTTGGCTTTAATTTTATGTAATCATTTGGAAAATGCAAATAACTGAAAAAATCCCAAAATTTTCCACAGTGAATTTTTAAATTATCTTTTTTCATTTCCTTAAACTTAAACATTGATTGTTACTTAAATTTTCCATTTGGAATCATGGATTTAAAATTTCTGTAGTTCATGGGAAAAAATTAACCCAGAAATTCAAAGCCTTCAAACATTCATCTGGTTTTGGCCTACAATATCCTCACAAGCTTTCTCTTGGCCTATAGGAGGAGCCACATACCAAGGATGTTCTGTTCCTTCCCATTGTCGTTTTGTGGCAAGCCTTGAGTTAACGGTACCTCTACCAAGAGCAGTTGAGTATTTCTAAAAGTAATAATGAAGATTAAATATGCAATTTTAGTTCTAGAGAGACAGGTATTAAATAAATCAGCAGGAATTGCCTTTACAGGAATAACATTTTATTTACTGCTACTACATCTTTGGCCATACAAAGCTCATAGTATTTGTTTTCCACTCTGAACACCTAAAATTCTAAGATTTGATAGTAAAAGCAGTTTTTAAAAGAAACTTACTGGATAAGGCAAAGGTGGGGAGCGGGAAGATGATGCATTCTGATGATTATAAATAATACTTTTCAGGCTCTAACATTTTCTCTCTTTCTCTAATAATCCAGAATATGCTTGGTGTCCCCAAAGTCCTAGCAGTACCATGCCTGTACTGATCTGTAGACTTCGATTTCTGTGTCCAGCCAGCGCAGTGTAGTGACACTGACTGAAGCCTTTGTTCTAGATCTGTCATCCTATTCAAGGTAGCTTTCAGTGGCTTTGTTATTATTTTCTGTGTCTTTTCTCACAAAGCAAATGGTGGGCGCCTATGTTTACATTGTATCTTCCCGCAATGTACTTGGCTTGACAAAGACAAGCAGGCTTCTCTTTTGAGACTTAGTATATTTTTAGTTTTCATAGACACTTATTTAATCTTTTTTTATTGTACAGCAAGGTGCTCTAAGTAATATTCTATAAAATATATTTAATAGAAATTTGAGTTTGATATTCATGGACATGAATACATGTATTTTTTTAAGAAATAAGTATTGTGTAACACTATGACATTGCTTCTATAGCCAAAGTCTAAAAACTTCTGGAATACTGACATGTAAGGACTACAGTTAATTCTGACACTGTATCTAATGGAACTCGGATGGTTTGCATTTTGTAAAATTACCCTGCACCTGGAGCTGCATGCCTTAAGCCTGAAACCTGGGCCGTGCTCGCAGTGGACAGTCTGTTCCCCACGCAGGAAGCGGGGTCCACAGCGCTTCTCTGACTACCTTTGGAAGGACTGTACAATGTTAGAATAATTTATTTTGCTTTACAGGAGTTTGTCATGCATTGACTTTAATATTGTATTTTGGTAATAAATTTTTTGTTAAAAACACTTGCCTCTAAGTTTTATTAACAAGGTTAAATCCATTCTTATCTTGGAAATGCTGATTTGATCGCTTAGAAAGTTGGGTTTAAATAATGAAGAACTTCCCAGAGGTTAAACTAAGGCTTATCATTACCCTTTGGTAACGTGTTTTAAACTATTGCTGACAAGCATTAAACTGTGTTACACAAAGATGAAAAGGCATTTACATTGTTTCCATGGTTTTAAAAATTCAGTCTAATTTTAAAGCTTCTTTCCTTGCTATACAGTTCATTTTATCTTCTGAATCACATCTTTATGTGCTTTAAATTCTGATATAGTCAAAGTGCTAAAAACTAGCTCTGTTAATGACCATTAGCAGTCTTTATTGAAGACCAAAGATTACAATAATGTGTTCACACCTTGATCATTTTGGGGTCTATATCAAATATTTTTCGCACTAGGTTGTCGCACTGGCAAGTAAAGCTAACGTCATCTGACTGTATCATTGCTCTGGTTGTCCATTTATGCCCTAGAATCCTGGGCCACCTCAGCTTAAAGTGAGGCCAGATATTTCTTCCTAATAGCTGTAATTCCTTGTCCTAACTCCCCAGGGGTGAGTTATTATATAATAACATAATTATATCCCCATTTCAAGAACCAAATCCCAACAGTGTGTCACTGAAGTCCAGGTTGGTTGTAGAAATCCCAGCATGGAAGATCCAGAACATACGGTGCCGTTCGGTAGCCACGAGCTGCCTGTGGCTACTGAGTGCTTGAAGTGTGACTAGTATCCAGTCAATGTCCAATACACAACAGTTTCGAAGACTTAATACAAAAACAAATGTAAATTAGCTCATAATAGTTTTTTATATTGATTACATGTGAAATATTTTGGATATTTTGGGTTAAATAAAATATATTAAAATTAATTTCACTTGTTTTTATTTTTTTAATGTTAGCTACTAGAAAATTTTAAACTGCCTCGTGGCTCACATTTTGCTTCTGTTGGACAGTGCTGGGAGAGAAGAGGGATCAGTAAACTGCCACTCTTGCTTCACATCTCGCCTGCCACTCGTCTTTGCAAAGTTGCGGTTGGAACACAGCCACGCCCATTTGTTTACATATTGTGTGTGGGTATTTTCAAGTTACAACATCGGCACTGAGTAGTTGTGACAGGGACCGTCTGGCCCACAGAGCCCAAATCTGTTTGCTGACCTCCGAACTAGAATAATGGTATGATCTGTGCTTTAAAGCTACTGGAAAGGAAAAAAAAAAACCTTTTCTTAAAGAAAGCTTTTTTATAGCACTGTTTTATAATTAAATTATATTATTTATCCCTCTGCGATTTTTATAGTCTTCCTGTTCTGCAGCCCTTATCCATAATTTATGATTTTAACCTACCTCACCATTTCACCATCTCTGCTATTTTAAAGCCAGGCACAATTTGTTTAAAATAACGACGCACAATTAAATAATAAATAATGCTTCTATAAAAAGTATTCTCTTCCTTCTGTTGACAACCTAAGAGCGTTGCTGGTCCCCTCCCTGCTTTATCCCTTCAGTGCTGTGGGCATTAAAACTGATGATGTGGCCACATCCCCTGCATCTCTAACTGTGGTGCAAGGTATCTATGGTACTAATCCACTCAACTGGGCTGACGACTGACTGGAATAGTCTAGGATATAAAGAAGAAAGTCTTAGATGCACCTTGTTATCATGAATGAATAGCTTGTCTGAGTCTAAAGCCAAATTCATGGGTTGGGTGGAGGTTGTGGTTGGCTTTGGTGTAGACCTGAGCTAAGAAAAAGTCACAGTACTCTCCTGCATAGATTTCTTCCAAATCAATCAGCAACGATGTAAAATGAACATTTTTGACCCTACAAATTCTTAGAGAACTTTTCTGTTTTTAATTGTTGCCATAGGATAGGCTTACTTAGGTAAGTATATCTATCTCAGAATCCAAATGACCTTTATATCTCAGTTTTGGTTTATATCGCAGAATCCAAATGACTGGAAGATGCTTGACCCCTTTCCAGAGTCCTACACGTGCAGCACAATCCAGTTTGTATACTGTGAGGGGGGCTGCAGACCTCATTATTCTGGTGGTACATTAATAAATATACTGTATTTAGTTAACCACAAAATGTAAGATTATAACATATTTGGGTTTTTTATGTACTGACTTTTAATAATGGGTAATCACTGTTTAAATTGTTTACCTTACAAAAATCTTCCTTTGAATAAAAAAGTTTAATTTTAGGCATCATTAGATAAATTCTTACCATTATATTACAAAATCATCAAATGTTGGTGTCCTTTTGTCTCCTTACTCAACCACATTTACACCAGTTGTGTCGTTTTTCCGGATGGGGAGGGCACCATTCAGTAACAATGTGATTTGTACTCCATGGTAGTCCTGAGGCACAAGGGGCCTTTGTTTGAAAAGGACATTACATGGTAGGTAGATGGAGTTTTATCTACACAAGTCAGAAAATAATGAACCCTTAACCATGAGCTCAGACCCAACTATTTCATCTTTCTGATTTCTCAGCTTTAGCCTTTGTTAAAAAGAATACTTATAATTATCCATGTCATTGCCACTGATATCAGTAATAAAAAAGTTTTTTTAATTATTAATAAAGCATGTCATCTTGAATGTGTACACAATGGGAAATTGTGACCTGAAGAGACCCTTGACAGAATAAAACGAGTGATTCGTTTTTCAGGTTTTTATTAGTACCTAACAGCGGTATTTAAAGGCTAATTGTCATTACAGTGCACATCTCCAGATTTTTGTTTTTTCTACTTGTCATTTTATTAATTTTAGTCTCCATATTTCAGAAATAACATAGCTGCATTTTACTGAAATAGGCACGTCAATCCACATTTTGCTCTTTTTGTTTATATCTGCAGTCCTATTTAAATTCAGTATTTCCAACCACAAAAGGTGTTAGAAAATTCTATTTCAGGCTTATGAGAAAAAGTACAGCAGGATGTGGTTCAAATCTTAAGCTGTATTTATTTCTGATCCTGTACAGCTAACATTCTACAAGAGTGTTAGGCTGAAACAGTTAAATAACCGTAGGGAACTGGTGGTTTCAAGGTTGTCTTCACTTTCTAAGCCCTTCTCCATATGGAGCCTGAACACAGTTGGTGAGGTCATGCCTGTCTGTGGCGATGCTACTGGAGTTCATGCAAAGTATCACCATATAGGTTAAAACTCTCCAATAAGGCTCTTCACAATCTGCCCAGCTGGAGCAACCCTGTGCTCTCTGTGCACGTGCTGGAAAAGAGGCTCCAGTGTATCGTGGGACAGTGTTTACAACTGACTTTGTAATAGCAGGGGAAAAAATGCATGACTTTTCCTAATGGAGAGCAGTCACAGTCCCATCCGAAGGAGGGAGGATGAGTCTGGTGCACAGCCTGCCACCCACGGAGTGGGTATTGCCTCCTCAGCTGGTTTGGATGGTTTGGCTTAAGTTTTTTAACTTCTTAATAAGTTCAGTTATTTCTTCTATTTTCTTAAATGCAAAATTGACAGTATAACACCTACCTCATAGGGTTACGTGGATTAAATGCCTCGTCGAGTTCTGACACGGTTCTGGAGGGTACCTGGTTCCAAGCCCTGTAACTTGGAGTAAGGCATTCGGTCTGTTTTGAGCCTCAGTTTCTTCATCAGCAAGATAGATGGTAAGACTTAAACTTTACAGGACTGCTATGAAGACTAGCAACCACGTCTACGAGGGGCCTGGCCATCCAGGAGCTCAAACACTGGTTGCTGTTACAGTTTGAGCATTAACTGTGAGGGGGGTAGAATGAAGCTGCCTTTATAAATAATGATATCAACACTTCTTGTTACCACCTTGGAAAGGAACCTAAAAACCAAGCTGATGTGTATTTTGAGGAAGGATACTCAAAACAAAATATCCTATCCCTTAAAAAAACAAAAAAAGACAAACCTGGTTTATCAGTACCTACACTATAGTATATAATCCATGTCACACCTAAAAAGGTAAGAGTCCAGGAGAAAGTGTTAGAACATTACCCTGTTACCATCATGTTAAGTTCATAGAATCATTCTCTTACACCTATAAACTACCATTAAGGACTATTTGAGAATGGCCCTTTCCCTAAATAAGCTGATGAGCTGGCTGCATTGGCAAAACTTAGGCCCAAAGAGAGAATCGTACTTAGGATTGCATGTACTCTGTAATCAGCTGCTAACTATATGGGAGTGAGTGCAATGCACTGGACTATTTGGGAAAGGTGGAAGTTCTCAGAGACACTGAGAAATGGCCTGTCTCAGACTGCAAGGCTCGCACTTGTTAAGGCAGGCTTTTAACCATCACACAAGGACAGTTTGATCTGCAGGACTCTGGTGCAGAGCAGTCCTAATTCTGAAATGTACCTGCAGGCCAGTCACGATGCTCGCCTCCCCAGGTGGGGTGCTCTCCTATGGGCCTGGGATGTAGCTTTCCTAGTTCCTCCACGTGGACTTGTGATCAGGTAGGAAAACGGCAGAAGTGGCATTGGATAAAACCATATCAGCATTTGTGTTTAACCGTATCCACTGATGTCACTTACTCCTAAAAGGTGAAATGGAGCAAGAGAGCTTAGTAGCCATATTTCCAGCTATAAGTTATACCTTACAAAACAAAAATGGATATGCACAGAAGTGAGATGGAAAACAAAACCTTCCCACAGTAAGGCTCCTTTTGTGTAAATAGCTGCACCTTGTAATACCTTGTATTAGATAGCCTATGGGTTTGTTTTTGAATTCCAGAAAACACTACATCTTACCTGCATAATAATTTCCATTTATATAGCACCTTTCAGACAATTTACTCAAACATTTAGCAAACATTTACTAATCGAGTTTCTAAATGCCCCCAACCAAGCTCTTCTGGTAAAACCTATCCAGTAAAATTAAATTTCCAGTTTTAAAAAAATCTATATTTTTGGGGCTGGCCCTGTGGCTGAGTGGTTAAGTTCGCGCGCTCCGCTGCAGGCGGCCCAGTGTTTCGTTGGTTCGAATCCTGGGCGCAGACATGGCACTGCTCATCGAACCACGCTGAGGCAGCATCCCACATGCCACAACTAGAAGGACCCACAACAAAGAATATACAACTATGTACTGGGGGGCTTTGGGGAGAAAAAGGAAAAAAATAAAATCTTTAAAAAAAAATCTATATTTTGCCATAAAGGTGGCAGTGGTCCTTAAAACTAGGAAATCTGCATTTAGTAGCCAATCAGCTACATTTTAGATTGATTTTGGACCCTTTACTAATAACTAAATTACTCCAGTTCTGCTTCTCAGTCATAAGGCATTCCCACACACTAGCTTTATATAAGAATTCTTAACATTGCTTGTGCTTACAGAGTTTGTGATCATCAAAGAAACAAGACGAATGGTGTGCATGAAATACACATTCAACCTTAACCCTGAAAAGAAAGCACTTTTCCCATGAGTTGCAACAGACACTGCTAGTTGTCCCCCATTGTCCCCCAACATCTAGTCTTCTCTTCTGTGGTGGTAGAATTTTTAGCTGGGCACCTAAAAGCCAGGCTATTTCCCAGTGTCCTTAGAGCTGGGCAAGGCCATGTGACCAAATTACGGCTCACGGCATAGGAGTAGAAGTGATATATGAAACTTCTAGGTTGTGCCCTTAAAATTAAGAGGGCTTCCATCCCCTTCCCTTCGTTCTCTTTTCTGCTGTTACATGAATGTGGTGATGAGCCATCACTACAAGAGCCAGTGTGACACCCTGATGACAGCAGCGCAATGAGACAGAAAGACTCTGGGGTCCCTGACACTGGAACTGGACTGCTCACATGGGAGAAAGAAATGTCTGGTTTAAACCAGTTTGGTGAGGTATTGTTTCAGCAGCCCAACCTGTATCTTAATTAATACAGAATCCTCAGCCATTATTTCTAGTCTGCCTCTCCCCTCCTCCATCTTTAGATAGTGAAAATCCATTAAAAGGAAAAGTATATCTCCAGGATTTGGGCAGGGCTCCAACCACCAAAACTTTAATCTAATCAGTGTTTCAACTCTTTTTTCATTATCACCCACCTAAGGAGCATTTTTTAGACCTTTTTTCCCCTAATCAGCCCCTCCCCATGAAATTTGCATACCTTAGATATACTGTATATCTGTGCTTTACATACATAAAAAGAGTAAGATTTTTTCTTCAATCCCCAATTTTCTCCCTCTTGGGGATATCACCATGGAGAATGCATGCTCTTATATAGATGAACTGATTAATGATAGTTGTGGGGAGAGAAAGATACTCTGAACTTCATTTCCTGGTATCTTAACTGAAAATTCAAAGGGTCATCAAGAGATTGTGATTACAAACTTCTCAGAGGTGGCTGCGTTTGTTCCTCTGTCATGTGGGGATCACTAAACTACGGAATCCACCCAGTACAGTCTACACAGAGTTGGTGGGGTCTTTTGAGTCCTAGCAGCTTTCAGGCCTGGAGAGTTGCGATCAAACCCCTGAATTCTTATGCATAAGGAGGCCCTCAGGCTAGCTTATCAATATTCAGGGTGGACTCAGGAAGCTTTGGAGGGGGGGAGGGGGAGCACTTCACAAGTGTTCGTGAAAATGCAGCCCAGTGCTAGATTACCCATAATTTGAGGCATGATAAAATATCTGGATTTGAGAGTGTTAGAAACACATACATTTCTGGCTGAAAGGCCTACTTCTTCCTACAGAAAAAAAAAAAAAAAAAATCCCAAGCCAGACAATATGCTTTGGCATCTGTTGATAGGAAAAGGCTACTTCTAGGATTTTTAGACACCTGTTGTGTAAATGCCTGTTTTGCAGAGAATGACATCACAGCAGTCCAAAGGAACAAACTGGAAAGACCAGCCAAGGCCACTGGATCATGGACTAGAACAACCAACATCTAGGAATCATCACATTCGGCAAAGAGCTTATGGGATAAAGGATCATCATCTGATTTAATTGAATAACCTGACTCTTCCATGTCGTCATTCAAAAATATACAACAGTTGTTCTAACCATGGAAATGAAAAAGCAAGGTGTAGGTGGGGTGAGCAGCCAAGTAGAGGCAAGAAGACTAGCAGGTGTTAAGGAGGAAAATGAAACAAAGTTGATAATGTTTAAATACTTTGTTAACTTTATTTAATACAGTCCTTGACTAATTGTGTGCCAACGCTAATATGCCTGTAAATTTCACTATTCTAAAACACTACAAATCTAGTTAATAAAAAGTTGATCAAAGGAAGAGAAAAAATACAGTATTTCATAATGCCTTTTGTTAAGAATCTCACGGGGAAGGAGCCATATGTTGACAAATATTTTTAAAGAGGGAAAGAGAACCCCAGTGTAATGTCAGTCCCTGTGCAACTCTGGAGTGACCTGTGAGCACTGAGGAAGCTGATCCCTAGGACTCGACATGGGTTCCTTGAGACCAACCATGCCAACCCAGGTTTGGAAGAAGGCCATATACACACCCTATGTCTGTGGTCTCTGACATGGGTCATACACGGGAGTGCATAAAACAAGCCAGTGGGATGCAGGCAGAACATATTAGGATTTCCATTTGTATTTACTTTACCTAAATATATGTATGTGTGTGGTCAAAAAGTTTGGAGACCACTGCTCTGACTTTCATCAAGACATTTGAAAAGACAACCCTTGTGGACAAGGTGGCAAGTACTGTTGGAAAAATATACATAGTGGGCCAAACTGTCTTCAACTGAATATATGTTCCTGTAAGAGAATCCTCAGCATTGTAAAGATCTCATTTCCCCCAAAGATTTCTATATACTTTATACAATTGTAGTAAAAAAGTCTCCATGGATTCTTTTTTGGAAACTGGCAAATGATTATAAAGTTTATCTGAGCAAATAAAGATGAGAAACCTGCCAAGACGTGTTTAAAAGAAGTATAATGAAGGGGCAATTGCTCTCCCAAATATCAAAGCATTCTAGAAAGAAACATTAATTAAAAATATGTCAAATTGTTGCATACTATTCTTTTTTAAAATCATTTAAACATAATAGTGAGTTTACAAATAGGCCATATACATACAGGAATTAGTATGTGATACAGGTAATTCAAATCAGTAGGGTAAGAATGATCGTGAAAAAACTGTCCAATAGAAAAAAATTAATTATGTCAGAACTCTATCTCATCCCATATTAAAAAGATGCAATATTTTTAAAAACTGGAGGAAAGTATTTTAAAATTTTTACAATCTTGGCATGGGAAAAGTTTTCCTAAGTGATAGAAAAACCCAGAAGCTACAAAGGAATGATAATGTAAGAATGGAAAATCACTGCATAGCGAAAGCCACCATATGAGGTACACAATAATGAGAAAATATCTGCAAGGTATATGACAAAAAGTTAAATCCGTAATCTATAAATAATCTCTTCACATCAAGATTAAATCAATGACTGGCCAAAGAACGCAAAAATAAACCATAGAAAAAGAAATACAAACAGCCAATAACCCCTGATATACCTGCCTCCACCTCACTAATACGTTTAAAATAATCTGTCACTTGTCACCTGACTGGCCAAGATTAAAAATATCCATTGTTGGCAAGGACATGCAGAAATAAGCACCATGATACATGTTGGTGGAAGTGTAAAGTAATAGATTTTTAACCTTTTTGGAATGGAGTTTGCCAATGTTTATCATAAATTAAAATATGAGTTCTAGCAATTCTATTTCTAGAAATATATCCTAAAGAATTGCATGAATATAAGGATATTCTCTACAGCATTGCTTTCAATAGGATAAAACTAGAAACAACCTAAATGTCCAATTAGAGGGGAATAGTTAAATAAATTATGATACACGCATACAGAGGGTTATTACTGTATTGATTACCTATCATTGTATAACAAAATTACCCCAAAACTGAGTGGCTTAAAACAACCATAAACATTTATTATCCTTATTCTTTCTGTGTGTCACACAGTCGGGAGTGCAGATGGGCAGTTCTGACTCAGGATCTCTCCTGAGGTTGCAGTCATCTGAAGGCGGACTTAGAGTTGGCAGGTCTTCCTCTGAAGTGGCTCACCCACATGGCTGGCAAGGTAGTGCTGGTTGTAAGAGTGCTCATACCACTAAGCCCAGCAATTTAAAACTGAACAAACATTGTACATCAGATAGGCAAAAGCCAACAGAATAGGAAAGCCCTCTCCTCCCTTGGTCCTAAGGCAAGATACTTTCATGGGAAGGATGCGAACAGCGTTAATGACTTCTGTGTAGTGCTTCTCAAAGTGCGATGTGCACACAGATAACCGGGCATCTGCATCAAAGTTTTATCTTGCCTAGTAAAGCCACTTTATGATAAAACAAACAAGCAGCTGCTAATGAGTACCATTTCCTTTACTCATGCACGTCTCACAACTGACACATTTTCCCCCAGAGTGAGACAATTTAAGAAAAAAACCCTATACAATAAAAGGGGAGAAGTTCTGTTTCAGGAAGAATAAATTCACATATGTATTTACTAAGCACACAGATGTATTTTATGTAAGGCATCTTCACATGAAAGAGAGATTATATACATTCCCTGCTCTCAGGTCTGTAACATAGAAAGAAGACACCAACAGTCATGCCGAAACATGACAAATGCCATCTGAAAAAACAGCTAACATTTATTTTTATTAAAGTCACCCAGCAGATACCTCAATCCATTGGCACAAAATATGTGCTTGTTCCTAATAGCAACAGACACCCAGAGGAGGAGAAATATATCCAACAAGAGCGACTAGGAAAGGCTTCCCGGAATTAGACGGAGGGGCAGTCTTTCCACAGGTGCAGGGCCCAGAAGACCGTTCCTTAACAGAAATCAGTTCACACGTGGTTTGTATATCTGCTGACAAAAGGCTTTATCTACTGCTCTTGGCAGTGTGCTTTATATCCAGGTATACCTGCCCTCAAAAAAGGCCTCGCCCTAGTTGGGAGGAGACTAAGACGAAACAGGAGCATATTCTTTAAGACAAAACTGGGAAGAAAACAGCGCCCCCCAGCCCAACGCTAGAGGGGTCTGCAGATGCCGAAGTACCTCGTGGGTACTCCCCGGGCATGAGGAAGAGTCCGAGCGCAGACAAGCGGAACTGGAGCCCACGCATGCCCAGACCAAGCGGGGCGCGCCAGGCCTGGCCACGCGGGAGGCTGGGAGACGTCCAGCGGCCGGACCGCTTCCGTCCGTCTTGCCCTTAGGGCCCCCGCACCCACCAGCCCTGGGGGCTGCTGCTCCCGCCGCCCCTCTCCGGGCTGGGCCCCCGCCCCGGGGCCGCACCTCTCGCTCTGGCCTGGCCGAAGCCGGTGTCAGCGCCCAGGAGCTCCGCTCTCGGGCACTGAGCGGCAGGGCGCGGGGGCGGGGCCGGGGCCGGCCCGATGAGCGGAAGTGCGCCGCTTCCTTCCGGCCGGCGCCGCACGAGACGGGGCGGGGCGCCCCGGGAGGGGGCGGGGGCTCGCGCTGACGGACGGCTCTCGGGACCTATGGGCGCGGCCGCCGCGGCCCGGCCTCCCCGGCGCGCCCCTTCCCGGGGGCCGCTGACGCCCCCAGCCCCCCATTTCCAGGGTGTCGCCCGCAGCCCTGCGCGGTCGGGCCTGGCTGTCTCAGCCTCTGGTTGCGGGCGGGAGCGCGGCCCCGCCCCCGCGGCCCTCGGCGACCCTGCGCGGCCGCCCTCCGTCCGCGCCCGGAACCGCGCTCGAGGACGGCTGAGGCCGCAGGTCTGTGGCTGCGTGTCGGGCCCCGGCGGGCGGCGCGGGCGCCGGGCTTCGGCGGCGGCCTCCGAGTGGGCGCCTGCCGCGGAGTCCGCCGCGACCCCCGAAAGCCCGCGGCGGGGGCGCTGCTCCTGCGGCGCCTCGGGGGCCCGGGGTGGGACGGGGCGCACGCCCGTCGGCCCGAAATGCGGCGCCCGGGGCGGCGAGGCGGGAGCGAGCCAGCTTGCGGCGGGCGCGCGGGCAGGGCCTGGCTGCTCTCGGCCTCCGCGGCCGCGCGGCCCGCTGTGCAGGCGGCGCCGGCTCCGAACTTCCCGGGCCGTCGGCGTCTGCGGGGCCAGCGGCGGGGGCGCGGGGTGCGGGGACGTGCCGGCCCCCCGTCATGGAGAAGAAAGTGTCGCGTTCGTCGTCCTCGACAAACGTTTAAGGCGGCCTTCCTTTTAATTTGTGGGGAAACTTTGTTTCGTGGTTTGTGCGGTGATCACAGTGCCTGACGCGTAGTTGGCGCTTAAATTTGCTGCCCTGTGTCTTGCCGCGTTCGCGTTTCCCGTGGCGGGCTTTTTACAGCTCCTCTCCGAGCCCTTAGAGAGCTTGCCTCGAGGATGAGGTAATCTGGGGATAAACCGTCTCTGGCGGTACGGCTTCGCCGACTCTCCTCTCTCTCGCTGCTCCACATTCTGCATTTTCGGTGCTGGTGCTTGTCTGTTGTGCTTTTCACGTTTTTTGGAATGAATGAATGAATGAATGGATTGTATAATGTTGGTCGGTCGGTGGGTTGGTTCTTTTCTATAGAGCAAGTTGTTTACCTTTAGGAATTAATAAACTGCCCAAACAGGTGCCCTGCAACTGGTCATATTTAAGAAAGAGTTAGTAAGACCTGTTCGTTGTTCAGAGGAGCGAAGCAAGATGTTCCGGGGGACCGGAGCCAGCTTGCTCAGCGCCGCCGCTCCCCCGCCTCCCACTTGCTGCTTCCAAACCCGGCTCCCGCTCCCCGCCGCTCCTCCCACTGCTGCTCCCGGAGAGCAGCTGCCACCCTCGCCGCCGAGGCATGGGCCCGGAGCTGCCAGTGTGAACTGTTTTAAAAGAGCACAGGTATTAAAATTCAGATACCTGAGCCAAAACGGTATTTCAGTTTTTCAAAATCAGGCTATCAACAGATTTATTACTGAATACCTCTCACATGGTAGGAAAATAATAGAAAGCTGTGTAATCGTGTGACAGGTTGCATGGCACCTGCTATGGGTCAGGAAGGGGAAGGAACAGCAGGGGCTGGTGCGTCACGGAAAGAAGGCCTGGGAGAAGGGCAGGGGCTTGTCTGGGATGCTCACCTGTATCCCTGACTCCTGGCAGTGCTGGCCATAGAGCAGGCACTTCACAGACGTGATTGTGTTACGTAAGTGTTTGTGCTGTGTCTTGAGAGTAGCTTTGGAGGCTGGTTTAGAGTTGATGGGGAAATGGGAGGGCATGCTCTGCAACGGAGGAAGGCTCAAGTCAAGTCACCTAACACAGATGAGCATGGGGTGTGTTGGGGACAGGGTCCTGGCACGTGGATGGGCACTTTACTTCTGTGTTGTTTGTAGGAGTGGTTGGAAGGACAATGCGTGTAAGTCTTTGACACCATGATATCCATCAGACAAAGAAAAGGAATAAAAACCACAGAAGTTTCTGAGGATTATGCAGCACAAGAGGAAAATGTGAAATTGGAAAATAAATTGCCATCTGGTAGGTGCTTTAAATTTAAGCAGCGTTTTGGGTTGCTTTGTATTAATGTGTCATTGTCTAATAGGATAAAAATTCCTTGAGACCTAGCACTTGTGGAAATTTGTTCTGATAGCCTCATATTTTAGTTGTACGTGACTTGATTGCACTGGTTTTGCAGTCATGATCATGTAGAAGGTGCGAGAGCTCTGATTAGAACCCTTGCTTCTCAGCTGCGTGTACAGTAGCTTATGGTTGTGCCCGGCTGGTCCTTTGACTTTCTAGAGTAATGCTTCCCCCACCATTCAGATTTCAGTCTGTTTCTAATTTTTCTGGTTTGCGTATGCTGTTCACACTAGACAGCTTTTCCTTGGGTGTCCCATTTCATTAAAGTACTGAAAGATGAATCAAACGTTTTTTTAGTTCTTTATTTTCAGTCAAATTCCTGAAATTTTCTCCTTTGTTTTTTTTTGGTGGGAAAAGTGATCCCATTCGGTAAGTTGTTTATTTAATGCTGAAGACTCTTGCTAAGCCTTACGACAAATGGCATTAATTACCAGCTTCTTGCCTGCAGAGTGCCTTCTTAACCTGGCTTGGTCAAGATTTTTAAAAGTAAGCGTGAAAAATTCCATGTTCAGCAGCCATTTGGGATATCTGACAGAATTTATGTGGATTGAAGCCATGTTAATTCTTATCAGCCAGAGCTAGTAAAGGAATTTTGGGAAACAGTTCTATAAAATAAAAGTAATCCATATTGGGAAGTCATGCCATCCAGCTCATCTACGTATTAGCAATTTTGGACGAGACAGTACTTTCTGAAAACTTTATACTGTGCAAATTCAAGTTTGTTTTTTTAAATTAAGACAACTTTGAGGATTATTCATTTTACCAAAATACTGTTCAGTATTTATTTGTGTCAGAAAAAAACTTGAAAACTAGAGAAAAGCAAAAAAGAAGGAAAAGAGATTCCTACATACCCACCCATCCTGAGGCCATACCCTGGCACTTCATCTTGCTGTCTGAGTGGTGTGCTCTGCATGTGTTTACCTACAGGCATTCATACGTGGTTTTACGAAAGTGGAATCCTACGTGCCCTTTTGTAGCTAACTATATTTCTCTTATTTTGTTATGACCATATCATAAGTCAGTCAATATATTTTAAAAATATTGTCAGTGTATAGTCATTGTGTGGCTATAGCGTAATTTATTTAATTCCTTATTGAATGTTTAGGTAGTTTTTAACCTTTTATCTATATTGAGAGAACTGTGCTAAATATCCTTGTGGTCAAATATTTATTTAAAACGTTAATTATTTCCTTGGAGTATGTGCCTAGAGTTAGAATTGCTAGTCAGATGGTATGCTCATTTTAGTGTCTTTTTCTACCTGTTGCCGTGTTGTGTTCCGTGGAGGTACCAGGTTCTTCTTCTGCCGGCAATGTTTGGAAAATGTCTGTTTTTTGTACCTTTACCAAAACAGTATTACCATTTTTAAGCTATCAAATTGGCCAACATTTAAAAAGTTACAGCTTATTGTTTTGATTTGCATTTCTTTAATCCTAATGAATTTGAGCATTTTTTCTGTCTGTTTAGTTTATTGACCGGTTTTTCTTCTGTGCATTGCCAATCATTTCCTTAGTCCCTGCTGGAATAGTCATCGTTTTTTTGTTATCCTGAAAGTATTTATCCTATATGAAGAATATTTAAGCTTTTTTATTTGTGCTATAAATATTTTTCCTAATTTATATGACCTTTAGCTTGAGTTATGATGGATTTTTTTCCTGTGGATTTTTAAATGTTAAGTTATCAAGTTTTTGGTAGCTATTAGTGAATAAAGTTATAAGTAGATCACAAATTGAAAGTAGATCATCTGAAAGACTGTTTATATTCTAGACAGGTAACCCATTTATTCCTCCACTTAACAAACCTCATGGTTAAACTGTAGTTATTAAACTGTGCCAAACACAGCCCTAGATACTAAGATGAACGAGGCAATGTGCTTGTCCTCAGGAAGCTCGCATTCTAGTTGGCAAAACAGACAAGTGAACAGTTAGATAGAGTGGGGTGAAAACTGCAATGAAAGTACGAAAACGGATCTGTGGCATCACAGAAATGAGCCCTCACTGTCTGCTGGGACGGGGAACACTTCACCAGTGACGGCAGCTGGAGCTTAGCATACGTGATAGTCTGCAGTAGAACTATTGAATTCTAAATTCTTTTCTGACTTAGTTATTTGTGTGTTTCATTTTTCTAAAGGTTGTACCAGTGGAAGATTATGGAAGATTCTGTCATTTACAATTGGTGGAACAGTTGCCCTGTGCATTGGACTTCTTACGTCTGTCTACCTGGCCACTTTACATGAAAATGATTTATGGTTTTCTAATATTAAGGTATGGGGTTTCTATCGCCATTGTATGATGTGCTCATTGTGCCTCTAGTAGTTAGCCATATAGATGAATGACCAAGACAACACAGTTTTGCCATAAAGAATCCAGTCTCTTAAAAGGTTTGGCTATGGAGTAAAGGGACTTTGGGGCTGGCCTGGTTGTGTAGTGGTTAAGTTTGCTTTGGTGGCCTGGGGTTTGCAGGTTCAGATCCTGGGTGCGACCCTACACACCACTCATCAAGCCATGCTGTGGTGGCATCCCACATACAAAATAGAGGAAGACTGGCACAGATGTTAGTTCAGGAACAATCTTCTTCGAGCAAAAAGAAGAAGACTGGCAACAGATGTTAGCTCAGGGCCAATCTTCCTCACCAAAAGAGAGAGAGAGAGAGAGTAAATGGACTTTGGGTTTGTTAGTTAAAACTAACGTCAGAATTTTTATAATAAAGTGAGTTCCCCCATTTTCATTAATTTCAATTATGTAGCAGTTACTCTAAACCAGTATTTTTCAAACTGTGGATTGTGAAATTGGTGCAGTAGGTCATGAGTAACATTTTTCTTTGTGAAATCAGATACAAGAGAATACTGTCCCATATACTAGGGTTGAGAATGATTTGTGAAACTTTAATTATGTGTGTGGTATATTCAAACTGGGTCACAATATACATTTCTTTTTCTGTTGGGTACAGTTTAAAAAAAAAAAGAAAGAAAATAGAAAGCCGCTGCTCTAAATCCTGGAGTCTTAATCTGGCTCCATAGAGGACCTCAATGTGTTCATCCCTTTCTAACAGTATATGCAGATGGTTGGGGGCAGCCAGAATTTTTCTGGGGAAAGGAGCCATAAGTTTTATCACATTCTCAAGAGGGTCTGTGACTTTTTAAATACCAGTTTCCTTGTTGTGTTTTTTCTGTCTCTCTTTTTCTCTCACTCTCTTTTTAAACATTTTTAGTTGTCTTTTAATTAAGCATTGTTTTCAGAACAAGTATATCACACAAGGAAACTTAGACGTTGCGAGTGTTTTTCATCCAAAATGCTGTAGGTTGCGAGTGTTTTTCATCCAAATATCCTTTGGTTTGGTTCCAAAATGTCATGATCTCTGACCTTATTTACTACTGTGGCTTCTAATGACTAGTTGCTTACAAAGGTAAAATTTACCTTGTAAGGTCAAAGATTTATCTATGAGAATATTCAAAAGAATCAATGCAGAATCTAGAGACAGTTTCCAGAGAGAGAGCGTCCCAAAATATTTTGAGCTTTGGTTCCGTTATTGGAATGCATCTCTAAAGGAGACTACTTTGAATGACAAGATTAATTTATATGAATAAGTTCTAGTATGTTTATTTTAAAAACCTGTCATATTGCTTTATAGGTACAGCATGTATCTCTCTCTCTCTCTGTCTCTGTCTCTCTCTGTCTCTCTCTCTCTGTCTCTCTCTCTCTCTCTGTCTCTCTCTCTCTCTCTCTCTCTCTATGTTACAGAAACTATCATGGCACCAAATAATAATTCTGATCCTTCAGTGACAGTTGTAGTTTTTCTAGTCAAGAAAAATTTTACTCACCTGTATCTCTTTAAAATGGAGTGCTTATAAACAGATTCTCTAGAATTAGGCAATTTAATGCTTGTTGATTGACAGAAGTATCTTGAATAAAGGCTGAAATATCCCTGTGTGGGCAGACAGCCAACGTTAAATGCTGGTACCTGTACAGGAGATGTGATGACAAAGGTTGCATAACTTCATTTTAAGCTATAAGTATAGTTCTTTAATTTCAAGCGGCCTTGCTAGTATCCTTAAATACACGCCATCATCAAGAAATCTGAGCGTCCTTCATTTTTCTCTCTACTCTCACCAGGTTAAGTGAGTTGTTATACTTTTACCTAGTATTTACTGAGCACCTGTTCTGTGAGTAGCATTGATTTAAAAATTCGAGACGCGAGAGTCCAGAGTGTTCCAGGTGTCGGCAGCCATTCAGCCTGGCTGGGTATAGAGGGGGAGAGGGGATATATTGGGAATGGTAAACAGAGGCCAGATCACGCAGCGACCTGTGAGACGTGGCAGAGCTTTCTCTGAACGTAGGAGTGAGCCCTGTTTTTGATGAGGCAGTGATGTGGTCATACTGGTGTTTTAGAAAGGTGGTTTGGGCTACAGTGTGGAGAATTTGAGGAAGGCTGAAGTGAGGGGAAACCACTGAGATCACCCAATTCGGTGGGTTCAGTAATAGCTGGATATCCAGTTAAGACTTGGAGTAAATGAATATCTTCTATGTGTGAGACACTGGTCTAGCCCTGAGAATACAACATTTGAATATGACATGGAACCAAATTCTAGTGAGAAAAACTAGACGCTAACAAGGAATAAGTACTCTAGTGAGAATCAAACAGCGTGATGAGACAGTTATTGGGAGGCTACTTGAGACTGGGAGATAAAGCAGACCATTTGAGGACAAGGCATCTACCAAGACTTAAATGATGAGAAGGGGCAGCCAAGCTGAGGTCTGTGAGAGCATTGTAAGCAGAGAGAACAGGTGAAAAGGCTCCTAGGAAGGAATAAAGGAAAAATCCTTGTCGAGTTGAGGATCAGAGAGAAAACACACGTGTCCGGAATTTTATGAGCACTGAGGAGAATGGTACAAGAGAGGAAAAAGCCAGACCATGTAGGGCTTTGCAGGCTGGATGGGAGTCAGAAGCGGACCGAGTGGAGCTTTCCAGGAGGCAGACTGTGAGGGACATATTGATTCACTGTGTGTGTGGAGGGCGGTTGAGAGGGAAGATTCATCAGTGATGACCTGCTTTCTCCCATTAGCAGGTAAATGGGGGGATAGGCCATTCGTGGTGATAGTGAACCCTGTGGGAGGGAGCATTTCTGGAGAATACAGTGACTTCTGACACCAACCACCCAGAGGTGAGCCCACGTCACAGGTTAAGGGCACAGACCTCCACAAAATAGCCCCTACTTCAGACACCAGTTGCAAGTTTGGGGTTCCCCAAGCTACCTCACTTCTGACCAACTGGCTACAAATTTGGGGGTACCCACTATCTCCTCATGTTCAGTAATCAACCAGAACACATCACAGAACTCGGCAAAGCGTTGTACTTATGATTCCAGTTTTCTTAATGGCAAAAGAACCAGCCAAAGGCAGAGATGCATCAGGCCAAGTCCTGGGGAGGGTCCCATTGTCCTTTCCCTGTGGCCTCAGGACTCCTTACTGTCCTGGCTCGTTGATGTGCTACAATGTGTAGAGTATTGCCAACCAGGGAAGCTCACCTGAGCTCTGGTGTCCAGAGTTGTTCTGGGGGTTTCATTATGTAGGCACGATTGATTGAGTTGTTGGCCACAAGATTGAACTCAGTCTCCAGTCGCCTGCCGGTGCCCAGAGGTAGCACTGATATCAGCTGGCTCAGAGCCCCAACCCTCTCATCACATGTTGGTCTTTCTGGCTGGGCCAGCCCGTGTCCTGAGTCATCCCCTTAGCACAGACTATCAGATGTGGTCCTGAGGAACCCACCATGAGTAACAGAGACACTTACCACTCAGGAAATTCGAGGATTTTATTGTCTACCTCCCAGGAACTGGGGTGAAGGCCGCTAAATGGTTTATTTCACTGGGGGCAGCAAGGCAGGAAATGATCTGTTCAGGTTTGGATACATTGTGAGTCACTTTCAAAACAGTCCAAGTAGAGATATGGAGTAAAGGAAGCTAGATTTATGCATCTGAAGGCAGGGCTTCCATCTGTGTTGGAAATGGACATTTTCATATTACCAGCTTGCAGATGTGTGGGCAAGATTGTTTGAGGCATGTGTAGAGTGAGAAAGAGACCCTAGGCTAGATTCTGTTTGTGCCTCAGATACCATCTGGGAGAAGCTATAAAACAGGCACGTCCTCCAACAGGTTTCTCCCACCACCACCCCCATCCCCTGAACTTACATTGAGCTCAGTCTCACTGCAGTTTCTCTCTATTCAAGCAGCAGCTTATAGCACCGACTTTGCTTTTTTCCTTTTGTGTCGCAAGAGGCATGCTCGGATGTTGTAACTATTTCTCAAACTTGATGATACCCCTGCATAAGCATTTGGTTTATTTTTCATCTTAGATTATGTAGACCCAGTGCTCTGCAGCGGAACTCGCTGTACTGATGTTGGCGCTGTGCAATCTGGTAGCCACCAGCCTAGTCTAACGATTAAACGCCTGAAACGTGGCCAGTGCAACTGAGCAACTAAATTTTAAATTTTTTAAAATTTTAAGACGTATATACATTTTCTGTGAATATGTGAAAGAAAATTATAGCCATTATTGATCAAAGACATTACTTAGCCGAAGAAAAAGTTCATTTTCAGAGTTTACATGCCTTCATAAATTTACTCTTCTCATTTATACCGTTTTCCTATTGGGGGCTATGGGAGTATTTGAGAAATGTAAATCTGTTTTCCTTCTGTATTTGTTGGTTATAACTTAAACCCCTAGTTTAGGCTAGTTTTTTATGAAAATACTTTGAATTAGTTATAATTATCCAGAGAGTAAAAATATTGCTTATAAAATAGACAAATGATACATTGAGTTTATGCATTCAGAATGATTTTTTAAATGTTCATAGCAGTGTTCGTATTTGAAATGTGGAAACCCTCCAACAGAGCAACTTGAAAGTTGGAGGAGATGTTGCTGTTAACTGGTCATAGAAAATGTGTATGTAGGAGCCTTTCTTTTAAATTAAAAAACTCTTCTCTTACTGTCTTAGCCATTGTATTTCCCTTGCTGGTAAATTGAAAGTATAAGAGGTTTTTTTTTAATATCCTTTACTGAATGTCTGCTGTGTGCTTGGCAGTGTTCTAGATGCTTTTTACACCTGTTGTATTTATTCTGTCTTCAAAGCCCAAACATTTTAACTCTAACTTGTCCTTTAAATGCAGCCTGCTCTTTTGCTGCCCTTTATGATAAACTAAATGCTCTTCCCTGCTGTGCCCCCCTTACGCTGCCTGGCCCCTCAGCAGCGCTGAGTAAATAGTGGTCTG